CTCAGCTCTGAGAATAACAAGACTGAAAGCCTGGACTCCAGTCTGGAGTTAACAGAGGTTCTATATATGTTTTGTGGTGTTACGCAATTTGACCTTCATTTATTGCAAACATACATAAACTTATATGTACATTGCTACTAAAATAACAGATTATGGCACTCCATGGAGACAAGATACATTTTTCATTCTGTTTCTTCAAATATACTAACAGTAAAAGCATGAAGTAACTCCCCTTAAGAAGCTAGATGTCATTCAGCTAGTCAAGAATATATATGACTTTTATGGAAATGGAAAATTAATAGCCATGTTAGAACCCTAGGTTGTTGTAACAATTTGTATCATGCTACTTTATTTTATGGTGGCTGTTGTTAGCCCCACCCAACTATCAGATTGGAGAACCCCTTTATCTGCTAACCACAACTGCTATCTTACTTACACACCCTAAGGTCATGCTATATCAAATACATATAATGTAACAAATTTTTCATAGAACTGCAATATCAAATATTATGAAAATCCATTCAAACATTATCGAGAATTTCATGCAGACAAGACAGATTAATAAGCATTCCACACGGATGCAAACTTGCCTAAAACTTTGTGAATGTACTTATTGAAATATTTATTTGCATATTTAATATGCTTGACTATAAATCAGAAAATTTACAACTAATTCAGTGGTTTTAAATTTTCACAAAAGTACTTTCACCTGTTATGAAATTTTGATAAAGATTCTACATTGCAAGTTTTCTGGTGTTTGAATTTTAAACATGTTTCAATTTTCTAATTCCAGATAAGTACTATCTGAACACACTAGACCTGGTAAACTTTTATGGCATAATATTCACCTGTCATGGGAATAAAGGTAAGTATATACATTTTGAAGTGACCATAAATCACACAAAAAGTGGAAAGCTATAGTACAGTAAGCATAGTTTGCAAATGAATTTTTATCCGATTTGTACCAATATTAATTCATTACACATAATAGTTTATCAAGACAGAGACGAAATAATTTATTCCTTATTTTATAAAATGTACACCTAACAAAAGCGTCACAGGAGTTCACTTCAGCAATGAATGCAAAGGACACGTTAATGGTTTGGCTAATGAAGAATAATATTCCACTTAACCCTTTGCATACCTAACATAGTTATAACATCAAGATTCTTATTAAGAAGGTCCTTGGTTTCAGTCAAAGTACAAAAAGAGGCTATTCTAACTCAAGTTTTCAGCGACTTTTTTCAGTCCCTCCAGGAAAATACATAGCACTTAAAAGTAGGACAAAAATTGCTTCGTCCACACCATCATTCTGACATTTGAAGTTATATACACACAGTAAGCAGCATGTACAAATCTATATCTACATTCATGCTGTTTATTGCATATTTTTACTCACATGTGAATATGTGATGATGCTATTCAAAACACATTTTCATTACAGGGTGTATGTTACTGTTACAGCTGTCCAGTATGTTGCAACCAAAGAAAAACCAATTCCAGTAGCAGTTGAAGGACAAGATTTAAAGGATGTCAACCATGATACCTGTTCCAGTGCATCTACATTTGCCCAACAAACTCTGATCACCATATTTATTGTATTCTCTCTAAAGCATCTCATTTAAATCAGAAATGTCAACTAAATAATTACCATCACTACATAATCCATAATTATTCAAATATCATGAATAATATATTGCCCATCATCAGCACCATAATTACCAACATCATAGTTGTTATTAATCAATATTATTCTTATATTGTCTGGTATCTCAAGGGGACCTAGTATATTACATCCCTAAAATACAAAATTTAAATTGCTTGTTCTTAATGCCTCACAAATGTTTGGGCACACTTAATTTTTTAGAGGTTATGGAGCACACCCACTGTCTTTACCTTTCCAGATTCTTTTTAAATACAATTTCTGCATGAAGCAGGACTCTTTTTCTATATGCAAGAAAATATTACATTAATTACTATATTTTATGGTATAACTGACTTGCTAAACTGTGTAAATCACACATGAAAAAAGTGTCCTGAACATTCTAAAGCTCTATTTCTTATGGAAGCTGAGATAAGATACATCTAATGACAAATGTAACTTACAGGAACTGAGCTCCACATGTGTGATCTTCATGGTCTCCATCAACTTCACATTCTTCACTTCATTCACATCACTGTGCTGTAGTAATTAAACTTCATAATCTTTCATTGTTTTTAATAACTGTTACTGAAGGTTGAATGTGTGTTTGTTTGAAGGTTAGGTTTAAGTCTAGACATATCTCCTGCACAAATTGTTACTTAGGCCTTTCTCTGTACATTCCTATTTTACAAATGTTAATGTAACTTCTGAGCATGACTGGTAACCACACAAACTTCAATAAAACACATGATGGAAAAGCACAAGTTCACTCACAATAGATAACCTGCCTGTCACTCTTATCACAGAAAAACAAAATGGATTTTCTATAGGTTGGCCATATTAAAATTCCCTTCACATAGTGGAAATCTCAAGCCGGCCATTCACGATCGCTCCAGATGGATGACATCCGAATGGATGACGTCCAAACGGATGTCGTCCAAAGAGGTACTACATTCACGGTCGCGTCACGCCAGTCGCGGTTTGTTGTCACTCTGTGAAGTGCGTGGTGTTTGCGATGGACGAAGAATTGTTACTAGCTACGGCAGTATGCCTGTATATTAAAAGGAGGAAACCAAAACGAAAGTGGTCAAAGCAATGGCTCTTAAACAGAAGCAATTTAAGTCACGTCAATTTAATTAGTGAACTGAGTTTGGAGCCGTCAGACTGGAGAAACTATTTACGAATGGATGAGTGTGCTTATTTCCGCTTATTGGGGCTAGTCACGCCTGTGATACAAAAACAGGACACGAATATGAGACAATGCATCAGTCCTCATGAAAGATTGTCAGCGACTTTGAGATTTTTGGCTTCAGGCATGAACTATGAAGAACTGAAGTATGTGACAGCTACTTCTCCACAACGTTTAGGAGTAATTATCCCCGAGACTTGCAGGGCAATACTGCAGTGTTTGAAAGGATACCTTAAGGTAAGGTCAGGATTATTACTATATTTGTTAAAATTTAATTAGTTTCTAAATGTAATTATTTTTTTACATTTAATTAGTTTCAATTAGTTCGTGAATCACATGACTGATGATGCCACTTAAGAGGCGAAACATGTCTCATAATATATTTTAACTTATTTGTAAAATACATGGCAACTCTCTATATTTATCAATAACGAAATCACGCCCCGACATTATGCAACTTTCGACTTGACTGGACGAAGGCTCGTGGCAGACTGGCATGAGAATGGACCACGTTTCCGCCACTCACGATACGATGGCGCGATGGAGTGATGGAGCGATCGGATGGATTATGGCTCGACAGAATATCCAAACGAGCCCACCGCGCCACGCCAATGGACTTGAGTTTCCGCATTCACAGTACAATTTTGGAGCGACACCGCGCCATTTGGACGAATGGAGCGATCGTGAATGGCCGGCTTCACTCTGAAATGGTTTATTTGAAAAATAATATCTGTGAAAGTAACATATATAACCACATCCGTGCAATACCATTTTTAGTATTTCATGTATTTTGAAATAAGATATATGCACAAATGATACCTGACACAAGTTTACAGATTTTGTCTCAAAATAAATTAAAAAATAAAAATGCAATGATTTTCACCCTACCATATAATTAAATCAGTAGTACCTAAGATTACCACTGGACATGATCCTATGTTAAATGCATTAATTGCACATCACAAATTATTTCCCTAATAAATATTACCCAGCCATCAATGTCAAGGCCAATAATGTATGCAAACTTGCAAAGTCATGTCTTATTAAAGTGTCAACCAATTCAAATGGCTTTTGCTAAGCTCTTCAGCATTCTTCTTACAGTAGTTCTATGCCACACCCTGTGAACAATCAGTATTTTCGTTTTGTTATTTTTGTATTATGAGAATAAATAAGTGAATAGAAAGTTTCACTGCAAGAAATCAAAATTACAATTACAATAATAAATTTGGGGAATGCTTCTTACCATTCAGTTCAGACTCTTTCTTTGTTATCCCATTTGTTATAAATAACACAAAAGATTAAAATATACAGAGCTTCAACTTTACCTGTTTTATATGGCCACAATTCAAGGTATCTGAGAAGAGGATTATGAGAAGAACATATGAATCTAAGAGGAAGTAATAGAAAGGTGATGAAAATAACTTAAGAAACAGCTTCTTACATGTACTAACAGCATGATCAAATCAAGATGAGATGACCAGGCCATGTAACACATACAGCAGAAATGCATACAGATTAAAGACGGTTCTCTTCTGAGTTACACTGCGTAGTCTGGTAGAAGAATGTCGCTCAGTGGTACAGGAGAAATGCATACAGATTAAAGATGGTTCTCTTCTGAGTTACGCTGCATAGTCTGGTAGAAGAATGTCGCTCAGTGCATACGCATTCTTAAACAAAACACGTGAATGGAACCATCTGGGAGAACAATATTAACCTTTATCATGCAAGAAGAGAGGACTTAAACCTTGTATTATAAGGTTTTGTGCTGAGACTTTAACACTGAGGTTAACAGTTTAGCAGTGAGCTAATGTGACACATGGCAGCTGAACTACATGTAAGACACATATGAAAGTAAAGTACAGCTGTCCCACTATATTTCACGTAGGTACTTGGGGGTGAGGGTAGAGCTCCTACTCATTCTTGACCTCGGCACTAGATAGAAGTGAATGGTCAGTGTCACGCCCCAGAAGACACGTATGACACATAATCAATAAATCTTAAATTTGATCTTAAAGAGAAATGATATGAAGGTGTAGAGTGGACTCATCTGGAACAGGATGAGACAGTTACAGGTTCCTGTGAATATATTAAAGGGCATGAAATTTATTTTAACATGTTGAACAATTAATAGCTTCTCAAGGACTTTGTTCCAATTGAGATAGTTATTCAAACAGTTTCATACAAATAATTTAATGTAATTTATTTTATATTACAATAAATAAACCACATCCTTCATACAACATACAAAGAAAGATCACCAAAAGGCACTTTTATAGCTGGACTTTGAACAAATTATCATTAGTATATAAAAAACATTCCTTGCAAGTGAATGGCAGTATATCAGCTCCATACACAATTTTTAAATAGCTGTTCAAATATCTACAGCAGTGTTTCCCATACATTTTTGTCCATAGAAGGAACCCAACTATAACCAAAAGTTGTACATATGAAATTAGATGGAAGATTTTATGTGGTAGGCATATACAAAATTCAAAGGATATTAAAACCAAAGACTTTTCTATATTAACCTCAGATCTGTTACAGGGAAAATTCTCTAAATATTGGAGTAAGGCAAAGAGAGATGAGTTCTCTAGGCATGTGTAATGTCCAATATTATAGTATTCTACTTTTGTGATTTATCAAAACCTCATGAGTATTCCTCATGGGTTCTTTCTGAAGGAGACAATCTACCATAATATTTCAATGATTGGAATTCCAATCATTCTTAACCTCAACACTAGAGGGAAGTGATTGGCCAGTTTAAACTCCAGCCATTTTACCCCAAGGAAAAGAACACCTAGTAACCATCGGGCAGAAGGCTGGGTGAGCCCACAGCTGGTATGGACATGGCAAAGAGAAATATCTCTGTCCACCAGGAACTGAACTCTTGTTACCCAGGTCATATTCTAGTCACTTCAATGACTAAGCTATTTTGGCTCCTAGATGTGCTCTTGGAATCAAAAATTGTATTAAATGACTGTCTCAGTACAGAACCAACAAAAAATCAAACTTCAGTTTTACTATCTTGAAATCTCTAACATTGGAAAAGGAATTTTGCACATAGGAAATGTAACATTTTTACTGAGGAACATAACACAAAATTCTGGAAGCCAGTCGCAATACAGATAATGCTAATACACTAATGAAAACCTCTGTCAGTAAGTTCACACTGTTTATGTTTGGAAAAGACAGCATTAGAAATTATTGTTCTACGGGCTCTTAGAACTGAAACAATTAAAAAATTTGTAACTGGGGATAAAATCAGCTTTAGGATTTGTAACTGTAACAACATTTGCCATAAGACAAACCTAAATGTGGAACCTATTGAAACCTATGACAGCAGGTTCCTCAGAATGCAGATCGAGAATCACCGATCTATACAGCACAAAAATCTGTATTACTAGGATACACAGCTGCAAGGATGACCATGTTCTTAATTGGATGAATAACTTTCCATGTCACAAACTTATTTCCCTGTCAAATGGCAGGCATTGATCTCTTCTCATCTTCTGTCAGTTCTGGGTGCCACACATCGACTATAAGCACAAGTCTCGTAGTTGTCCCATTGTGCCACACCTCATGCTCAAAACTGTCATCAAATACAAACAACTTTCCCTCTTTCCAGGTCCTAAAAGTATTTAAGAAAATTCAATTAATGTACAAGGAATGACAACATATAAAACATAGTGTTCCCAAACCTTTATGTTTACAGAACCTTTGTGGCTTCATTAGTTCATAAAGAAACCTGAAAACAAAACAAAAAGCCTTCGGTATTCCAATTTGAACAGCAAGGCAACAGTGAGTTACAGACAGGTCAAATGTTCAGGCTCCCTTCTCCTTCTCATTTGTGACATTTGTTTCAAAACCTGAAAGAACAAGTTTGTGTAATGATAACGCTCTACAATTTCATTCAATTCCACATAATCTAAGCAGCTGAGACAGTGACAATTTGTTATCATGCCGTTTAATGACGTAGAAGTTATTCAGCATCAAATAACATAGCAGGATAATTATGTAATGTAAACTAGAAAAAATTGTTTACAATCTACCACCTTAGCATTCACCTAGTGGGATTCAGGCAAACCATGAGTCAATGTAGCTGATTCCCCAGTCAATATTCAAAGCATGCATCTACCATAATTCACGTGCATTACTACTTCAGCCACCGTGTTCAGTGTGCTGGGAAATTAATGACCCATTCCCAGCCAGCGAGCTGTCTGAGCCAGTAAGGCAGTTTCTTTTAAGTTTCTACACAGCTGATTCTTAGAAGTCAGTATTAAATACATGTAATTCACATGTGTTCAAGGGATGGTACAACCATGGCCTATATGAATGTAACCATATCTTATATACAGAAGTCTCTCATGAATAATTAACTTTTAACAAAACACCTTGGCAACTATCGCACAGCCTGTAGCACTAGCTTCGCCAATAAGAGGGCTGTAATACTTCGGCACCCACTCTGCAGCTCTAAGTTTGCCTACATTAGTTCCAAGACTTACCTCGTCTCTTCAGCCACTCGAATATATGTGCCCTCAGGAACTATGAGACCAAGATGTGACCGTAAACGACAGTTTGTGGGGCCACAGTGCGGCCAAACATGAGTCCCAGCATGCATCACACTGAACTTGGCCTGCCCACGGCGACAATCACGGGCCGCAGGAAACTCACTTATGAGCTGACAAGTGAAGGGAGCTTTCAAACAGTTTGAAGTAATCCTGCGGCCTAAAATAACCAAAATGTACTAAAATAAGGCCACAAAGTACGTCAACACAGTTTACAGCATGTTCTATAGATTTACAGAAAAGTGTCTTGAATTCAAGCTAATACAAAGTATAACAAGGTGTTATCTGACAGCTCACCTCGAGCAAACAGCTCAAACTGCTGCCAGTTCCCAATATCTTTGAGGTTCTCTGCTTCATCTTTAAATATCTTGTTAGCCAGAACCATCAAGCCTTCTTCCCTGATCTGTTGCCAGTTGTCTTGCAGCTTCCTTAAAACAGTGCATGAAAAGTTGTTCTAAAATACGGAAAACGGTCCAACTATTTATTATGGACGTAACGCAGGTGGCAATGTGCTGGATGAACGTGGAAAGAAGGTAGTAACATTGTGATGCAGCTTATGATTTCAGGTATAGTTTTTGACAATCCTGGCCACTTGCTGCCAAAGGTAAGGTAGGTACCCATATTTTTTTGGGAGTACCAATTAGGTGGGATTACTGTTCTACCTCTGATGATAGGGTGAAGGAGGTCAAGCTGAAGGGGATGGCAATGATGATTGATAACAGAGAGGTCCTACAACTTAATCTGGGATCAAAATCAATAGTACATACACAAAACTGTGATTATACTACATATAAAAGTAAAAGTAAAGTTTGTCCCACTATACGCCATGTAGGCGTTTGGGGTGAGTGGAGGTATAGCTCCTCTCTTCCTTGACCTCGGCACTAGATGGGGGTGAGTGGTCAGCATCACGCCCCGGCCGGCTTTACCCCCGGGAAAGGACTCCGGTACCCATTGTAGAGGAGGCTGGGTGGGCCCCAGAGCCGGTCTGGACGCAGAGGCTAGAGGATAAATCCTCTGCCCCCGTCGGGAATCGAACGATTATACTACATATAAGGACAGAAAAATGCATGTAAAAAAATCTGCATGAACCTGAATAGTCTCCAACTTAAGATTTTTTGCATGGAAGGCCAGCACCTTTAAATCAAGACACTAGGTTCCTTAGAAAGATGTACAGTAGAGGTAATAGAAATCTCACTTGAAATATTTCGAGTAAGTTGTCTCCTCTGGTGTCCACCACGGTTGTGCTCGGAGTCTATTGACATTATACAAGGAACGTTGATACTTTGACAGGAACAGCCCCTCCCTCACTCCCAGGTCATAAATCTGCAGAAAAATATCAAAGAAACAATTCATGTTACAACCAACAAATTAACCAAGTAACAAGGTAATAAACTTTCAAACTATAAATCAACCTCTTCTTGGAATTATTCATATTCAGCTGGTCAAAACATTTCTTGACTTGAAACCACAGGGATCATGATAAATGTCAACAAATTAGAAAATGTACATATGCTACAATAATTTTCATGTTTTGCCAGAATTTGAACTTTGACCTCTGTGAATGAACCAGTCACTTCTAAGCATGAAAATGCACGCAGGGCTTCAAGTAAAATGCCCATTATTGTTGTCCAATCCCAACTAAAACTGGAATGTGCCAATATATTTTGGTAAATTATATCTATGACTGTCCCCCCACAAATGTTCACCCAACTTTCAGACGTCAGAGCATGCAGAAACAATTAGCAAAAAGGAGCATGTGTGGCCAGCAAAAACCTGATTATGATGATTATAATGAACTGCATGCCACATTTTCTTGAACAAAGGTTACCTAATACACAAGCATCATAGTTACCAACACTGATAATGAATGCAATATGAGTGAAAAGGGCTTAAAAATTGTTGTTAGTTCAAAGTCAGTTCACCTTGCCAGCCTCTTCATGACGGCCAAGTCTCGTGAGGGCATCACCTAAATGGAAGAAGAAACGTCCATCAAGGGTGCCTGGTTCCCTTGTAGCAATGCCCTGCGTCAAGTAATCTACTGCAGCCTCATTATTGTTGTCGCTAGTCTTGAGGATAAAGCCATAGTGAACCTGAGCAAACCCATTTTCTGGCCAGCGCCTCAGAGTGTCCTCCAAAATGTGTTTTGCATCTGCTAGCCTGCATACCCATAATAAAACACTTCAGAGTCATTTACTTCAAGATTTATAACCAACAAATCTTGAATGATGTTAGTCAGCAGTTCTATATTTTAGGTCCTCAAGACGTCAAGTTTTATTCTAATATTAAGAAAGTCATGAGAAAGTTCACGTAAAGTGAACAGATAGCTGACCGTTATCTACACTTAACGAAAACACATGACTGCGACTTTTATGCATTCCTTACTTAACACGGAAATAGTTAAAGCATAATGTTGAGGTCATGTCCGTTCCTTCAAATGTTATCTGGGATACTATTTTGCAGATGTTAAAAGAATCTGATACTTGTGGTAGGGATTACATGTTGTTATGTTAATTTCATTTTGACTAATATGAGTTCAGTACTACCCCTACTTTACACAAAAATCACACATCACTTTATCAGATTTCTCAATATTCATTCATCACACAAAAAAACTGGGCTACAACATAAAATACACATGTTAAGTTTGAAGAACATATGTAATGGATCTCTGGGACAGCGACAGGCTCACCAAGCCAACAGTGGATACTATAATGCATCCAAAACAATTATAAGTCTTGGAAATTAAGGGACTACTTGCACACATGTTAAGTTTGAAGGAAATATGTAATGGATCTCTGGAACAGCGACAGGCTCACCAAGCCAACATATATAATGCATCCAAAACAATTGTAAGTCTTGGAAATTAAGGGACTACTTGTACATAATACAATGCAAAATTATTTATGCCTGTTTCTACTTTTCTACTTTAATACTTGTACTGTTGAGATGCTTTGTTAAGACACTATTTGAGAACTATGTGTATACCAAGTTGGAATATACCTTTCCATTCTTGTCTTACAAAAGTATATACGAGGCTCGTCCTTAAAGTAAGTTTCCCTGGGGCCGTTTACAGAAACAAAACACAATTTCATGGAAATATTTATTGCAACAGATACAGCAAGTGTCCAGCTATTTTTCAACATATTCGCCACCGGAATTGAGACATTTGTCATACCGTGGGACCAACTTTTGAATACCTGTGTCGTAGAAGTCTGCCGCCTGGGATTGGAACCACTGTGTGACAGCCATCTCCGCCTCTCTGTCATTCTCAAAACGCTGACGCTGACGCTGACCGGACAGGAATTTCTTGAGGTGTAGGAAAAGATGGAAATCACTGGGAGCGAGGTCCGGGCTGTAGGGTGGATGATTAAACACCTCCCAGCTGAACTTCTGCAGGAGACTTGCTGTCCGTCGAGTCGTGTGCGGCCTAGCGTTATCACTGACCGCACTTCACAGTCGGCGGGAGCTGGAATAAGAACCTCCATCTTCAACAGCTGCAACGATGCTACTGTGAGAACGCGGGAAGTGCCGTTAGTGCATGCGCCATGCTACGTCATTGCTCTATCACGTACGCACAGTCGCTTCGCGCAATATAAGGTTTGCTAGCTGTGGGACGAGTGGGAAAGTTACTTTTGGGACGCGCCTCGTAAAACAAGAAAGGTGAAAAGATCAGGTAAAACTGTCACAACAGTATTGCCAATCTGTTATTAACATGTGCATCACTACTAGAGCAGGCTTACGCACCTGTTGATCATCAAGTACGTGACAGCTAACTGATTTGGATAAGCTGGGTCATCACTGAATCGCTGGATTAGCTTCTTGTGGATATGAACAGCTGTATGATACTGACCTGCAACATACATACCTCTATCATCTACTGATGTTTCAATCAGGGCAAAGCCTTCTCTATTCTTTTGTATCCCTTATAATCACTCCTACTACATCCGTATCCATTACTCTGTAAGTCTTCCTTCACTTAGAATCCCCACCTAGTCCTCAGTCTATCCAACAGTAATTCATCATCTGTTTGGTATTTTCTGTTTTAAAGCTTTAAACACATTCTCATAACCTACTTCCGTGAGATCCATTTCAATATTACTTTCCTGTCAATATTTTATTCATCCATTACAAAAGCTTACCCACCAAAATCCTAAGTATTTCCTGCTACCATAATCAAGCTACATGTCCAGTACATGGACCAGTTGCATGCTCTTGTGAACATGATAATTAACCTCTAGGTACCATAAAATTCTGAGCAACTATCACCTGCTCAAGGACTACTCCATGGAGTCAACTTAGTAAAATTCATAAAGGAATAAGTCAAGAAATGAAATGTTAATAATGAAAGGTCCTTTTCTGGATGTTCTTGCTTATGAAAATGGTGGAGTGTGTCTAATTCGAGGGCATGCGCTATTAAAAAAATCAGTGATTCTAAAAGATTTAATTCAAAGAAAACGGAATGCAGATGGGGAAAATGCAAAAGATGACAAAATCAATTCTAAATACAAGCCCCGGAGTCACAACATATAACAAGATTAATTCAAGATGATGATGATGATGATGACCAGGCAATTAATGTGTTTATTAGGTTAACAGAATTTAAAAATCCTCACCCTTAAACCTCATCCTGTTGATGCACCTCTCAGCAGCTTGAACAAACAGTTTGTCAGGCACTGACAACCCCAGCGCAAGAACTCTCTCGTATGCATCAATTGCTTCCTGCAGCAGGGCATTGCTATGCTTCTTTTCTGCCAGCTTGTCCAATGCTCGTGCCTTTCCATGATGGGCTCGAGGAGATGCAGGGTTTTTCATCAGGATGGTTGTGAACGTACGCAGAGCTGCCTCCGGCCTCTGACCATTCAGGTTTGTTTAGGCGTTAGAAGCATGGATATGACTGATGAAGATAATGTGCTAAATGGATAGAGCAGGAGATGGGAAGAATGGAATATGGTGCAAGGGAAACACAACTGTTAGTGTACACACATGCACAAACTCAAATATTATAAACACAACATGATCACAAAACAACACCAGACCACATTCAGTGGATTTAGATTACCACGGTACACAAATCTCAAATTATACAACACATTCAGACCCGTAGCCAGAATTTCCGATGAAGTACGATAATTAGCACTCATAATTCAATTTACAGCACACTGTGTACATGACTCCCACATTCTCAAATATAGATACATAATAGTTTGGATAACATATAAGAACATTATCTCATGAAATGCTGTTATTTCAAGATGTACTCTTTACAATGAGAAATGATACACGACAATGGCCTGATGGTGACCAGCTGGAACAATGAACACAATGCACACAACTGATAGACTTGCAAACTCATTCAGATTATTTTAATACTTTCCATGCTGAGATTAACTGTGAAAATAAATAAATAAATAATTTATTTCAAGTTTAAATGGTACCTGAAACCACACAATTGGCTTGAAGTGACCAGAAATGGTATGGAAAATTTATTTTCACTAACATTATCAAATACCAAAGATGTTCAAAGCAGAAGCAGCTACCGTTTTCGGGCAAGGCATCTTGTCCGCAGCACAGAAGTTAATGAATAGGATTATAAGAATGAGTGACATAATGAAAGAGAGTGAGTGAAACAGATCTTAAATTTGTTCCTTTGCCACAGAAATTAAAGCCTCTTGGCCAAAAATGTTTGACGTTAAGGAGCAGTGTTATAAATTTCAGAGTCTGAATGTGCTAAAAGCCATGTGAATATGGACTAACTACCTTACTATGAAAACACCCTGTAAATGTCAATCATTTATACAATCTGAAACTTATCTTTAAATAAATATTATACAAATTAAATATAAACCCCAAGGGACCAGATGCATCATTTCTTTGTGATAAACAATCCAACATAACCAACATGTAAAATATTATATATGACAAGTTCATAATTAAATGTAAGTCCCAATAACTCAAGTTCCCAGTTATCATAGCCTTATTTTTAATAAATGTACCAGTGTAGGAATATTTCCCCAGACCTCAATGTAAAAGACTTTCCTGCATTGATAAATATTGCACTGTTTCCAGCTACTGAAAAATTCTCTGTCCAGTTTTCAGATGGTAAATGTGGGTGCAATGGGACAGAGAATCCTCAATAGGAAGAACCATGCCTGAAAGTTAATGAAATTAACAGGTGTACTTTTAATTTACACAAAAGTTAATTCTGAAAACAAAATGGGATTCAAGTAACCCATTAAACACATACAGTTACACACCAATTTCATTAGTTTGCTAAAAAAAATAAACCAGTCTATAAACAAAAGTAATATTATGGAGAGAGCAACAAGCTACAATATAACAGAATACACACAACACACTTCATAATTTCTTTGTGTCTCCTTCAAGCTATGGATGTGAGAAATTATAACTCTGAAAAACCACAATGTTATGATCAGAATTAACTATCATATATGCACTCTGCACACAAAAACACTGTTCAAACTACTATGAAGCAAGTACAGCTGAAACAGCTCATTCGCCATGATCCATGCCTCATCACTGAGGAACAAAACACAGAACTAGTCACACTTGCTGGTTGTGATTACAGATCACGGTATAGCAGCATAAAACCTGCTATTACAAGGCACTTTAAAATACTTTAACTATAAGAAAACTTTGTCAGCAAACAAATTACATTATAATTCAATATTAAAAGCATCTCAATGTTACAGCACTTGAAGTTGTGCCAGGGTACAAGCAAAAGGAATGGGAGACACAAATAAAAGGAAAGTGGTTAGTTACCAAAGTCCTGGTAAAGAGACAAGAGAAAATGGTTGTAACTAAATAAACACTGAAACAATTACATCAATGTATTTTTTGGTGTATCACATTGTTCTTTGTCCATCATCCAGACGTTATTAAAACACAGATTTTCAAAAGTTGACTCTATTTCTGTCATAAACTGAAGTGAAAGGATATAAACCTAAACTTTTGGGCCCTCTGGTCAAGCTTGTTTCAAACCTCCTGGTTTGAGACTCTAAACTGTTTGGGTCCCCTGGTTAGAGTAGTCTACTCCAACTGAAATTCAAACTGGGTTACTTCCAAAAAGAAGTCTGGAACAATACTGCTACACCAGCCAACAAAGACCTTGTTTCTTAATTAAGCATTTCACTTCATTCCCTTCTGGATTATAATTTCTTTACCGGTTCTAGTAAATCTTAAACAATCGGGACTTACCTCTTCCATCTCTGCATCAGCCAAGTCCAAATCTTCACGGATTTTGAGATCATCTTCACTAGTGACGTCAGTTTTTTCATAACCCTACAAACAAATACTATCTTCAAGATATATTTTAAGTCAAGGCAAGAGAAGAGAAGAGAAGGCATCGTGTAAACACAATACAAACACACTCACAGTTGGTGTGTTGACAGATTAGCTCTTACAGGTTCAAACATTTTTGAAGTCTATGCACATTTATTCAGTAACAGAATATTGTCTGCCCCAAAGAGCATGGATATAATGAAAATACTGCCTCAACATACAGTATTTATAGGATACATAACTTAAAAACAAAATTACCAACACCAACAAAAGAAACAATGTAATATTCTCATACATATGGATATTGATATTGTTTTAGTAACAAACATATTTTTATCTCTAAATACAACATTACATTGATAAACAATTGTTAAGATATTGTAAGTGCGTCATATTGTGAGTTATTAAATATTAAAAATATATTAAAATTGGCCGTCAATCACAATATAAGAAAAATGAAAACTAAAAATCATTAAAAATCAGTAATTCAGTTAAAAAGTTTATAATATAACACCTGATGACGGCTATATATAGCCGAAACATGTCGTAAATGTTCCACATGTAAATCGAGTACTCGATAAGGAACGTAAAATGATATTTTAATCTTTTAATTATCTTATATTGTGATTGACGGCCAATTTTAATATATTTTTAATAATAAAGAATTGTTAATAATGTGACTGTACACAATTTGATCCATTAGTGCATTTTGTTCTTGGGAAATGTTTTGTAAATGTGTTGCATTCATAATTGTATTTCCTGAATGAGATGTATTTCTCTTATTTAATTTATACCCTGCTTCATCAGGTTTATAGGATGTGCCTGTACCTGTCTTTCTAAAAACTCTTGCTGAGTTGTGTACATTTTTCAAAGAGCTATCATCACACAAATTTGAAGGCCCCACATTATATGACAATAGTGCTGTCAGCACTTCAAGTCTCCATGGTTGCCTTACCAGAATTGCTAATGACAATGTTAAAAAGTAATACTAATAAAAAAGTTTCTAACTAATTTAGAGTTTCTGCTAATCTCTCTACAAGTATTTACAAAAATGTAGGTGTCAAAAAAGTTCTTCACAGAATTTCTCAGAATGGCCTTGCTTACCTGTCCTCCAGAGCTCTTTGTGACTCTTCTAACTGGCACAAATTCTGCTTCCTCCGACTCGTCTTCTTCAGTTCCCGACTCTTCCGGAGTGATGTCAGCAGCACGTGTGACTGTGACAAGCAATTACTGCATCACTAGTGAACAATCACAATATGACAATAATCTCATATATAAACTGTACCTGCAGTACCCATAAGATCTACATAGTGTTCCAAGATGTTCTACAGGTAAACAGTTGGAACAGTAAAATAATTATGAAGGAACATGAAAAGTAAAAGCTGATTCTCTTTGCAAGTGTTTACACAAGCCTTGCAAGTCCAATGTTTGTTTTTAATTTCAACTCATAGATGTAATGCTATGCTATGCTATGCTTTGCTTTTAAAGCAATATAACAAAAATGATTTAGACTATGTGAAAGTCGAACCCAGCAAAATGAAATGTGGTACTGAGCACACATCAATACTGAACTCAAAATGCTTAAGCATGAATTTTGAACAAAGAGAGTAACAGTTTCAACTGTGGATAATTCTTTGTCAGTGGGGAAAAAGCATCTGTACTGATAACCCAGCTCTTTAGTACTCCTTCGAATGTCCTCAGAATACAGTAATGCCGTAAAACACGGTCTTTGAGAAGTTAAAAGTCACTCAGATAGCCATGAAGGTGTCTCAGAACTTAGAAGAATAAACACTAGGAACATCACTAAGTGATTCAGAGAATAACTAATAATATCCACAATTTTTCATGTCCTTTCAACATCTATTTTATTTATATTGAATGTTCCAATTTGGTATACTACTAGTACTCTTGATGATAAAAGAAATTCAGTTTCTAAGGAAAGCATGGGGCAAAAACATAGTTTACTTCAGATTATTATACTGACCATCACCTAAATAAAGTATTTACATACTTTAGTAAAGCACCCCAACCCAAATCTCAGGAAAATCCATTCAGCTATTCTTGAGTTCTTACACGCAGACAGGTAGACATGGCAAACCCAATGGGCACATTCTTTCAACTTTTAGTTGCAAAATCACCTTAAATATGCAATCAATACAGCCAAGGCTCAAAACAGGAAGCTCCAAAATATAAGTCAGAAGTATTATAGCTTCAGAATCAATTTCACAAAACTGAAATTAAAAATAAAATCTTATTTTCC